TGACATCGAAAATGGGAAGTAAGAGAGAGGTATCAGAGAAGAGCCTTGGTTTCCAGTGTGCACCACTAGACAAGCTGGTACCAAGCCTCAATCTAGAGAACTAACTTGGGAAGATGGTAGCCTGTAAGGAAGATCATGAATTTGTTTACAGACCTGTTGTGCTATATGGATTCAGAATTAAAAGACAGCTCCATTCTAAAGATAAAAAACTGGGAGTCAACAGATGTAGAGAGAATAACTGAATCCACAGGCATGAATGAGATCAGCTACAAAGTGAGCTATGGATTCAGAATTAAAAGACAGCTCCATTCTAAAGATAAAAAACTGGGAGTCAACAGATGAATAGAGAATAACTGAATCCACAGGCATGAATGAGATCAGCTACAAAGTGAGTACGAGGAAAAAAAAAATAAAACCCAGGACTGAAACCTAAAACTCCATCATTAAAGGCCAGGAAGAAGAGAGTGACTCAGTTCAGAAGAATGAGAGTCTCCAGAGAGGTAGGAAGAAAACCGAGGCACTTTGGGACTCAATAAGCCCATGGAGGAGTATTTTAAGGATATGAAAAGCAGAGCCAGATGCTGCTGCGAGATCGGGCAGGATGAGGACTGGAAGAAGTCCACTGGATTTCATGACAGCGGTCATTCAAGAGCCATGCTGTGCGGTGTGTTGGAAATAGGATCAGGAATAAGTGTCTGACTGTGAAGGGAGAAAAAAAATAGGGCAGTAACTGAAGGAAAAGGCAGGCAGAGGTGAGGGTGGCAAGACTTGATCAGTAAGGCCTTCTCAGATCGCCTTATTTAAAATAGCAACACCCCTCCTCTAAACTCTTTATTGCCTTTCTTTATTTAATGTTTCTCCACTGCACTTACCAACATCTGGCATACCATATATTCTACTTGCTTATCATTTTATTCTTCTTCCCCACTAGAAGATAAGTTTCTTGAATGAAAGAATGAATGAATGAGGGACATGTGTGCATGCATGTGTGTACATGTAAACATGTTTAAGATAACAATGACCTGAGCATATTTAAATGATGATAGAAGGGATCCAGAAAATGCACAATGATTATGGATACAGAACTGGGAATAGATGAGGATAATATTTAAGATTTCTAAGAAAATGGGCAGGGAAAGGATGGAGAAGCCAGGTGGAGAGACATAAGGATCCCTCCTATCTGACAAGAATATGGTAACAAGAGAGAAAGAGAATAAGAGACTCAAGATGGTCTAGCAGGTTTGGCCATGGAGGATGAGGACGTTCCTGTCCGATGACTTCTATCTACTCTGTGAAATTGGAGGGACGATGTCATCTGTGAATAGTGAGAAAGGGCAGATTTTTGTATGATGCCAAAAAGAGAGAGGAAGAGTGGTGATCAGAGGTTTAAATGGAATAAAGAAAATCTGAGTACCTATCTAACATCATATATACAGATAGAGAGAGAGGAGAGAGAGAGAGAGAGAGACAGAGAGAGAGAGAGGAAGAGTGGTGATCAGAGGTTTAAATGGAATAAAGAAAATCTGAGTACCTATCTAACATCATATATACAGATGAGACAGAGAGAGAGGAGAGACAGAGAGACACAGAGAGAGAGAGAGAGAGGAAGAGTGGTGATCAGAGGTTTAAATGGAATAAAGAAAATCTGAGTACCTATCTAACATCATATATACAGATAGAGAGAGAGGAGAGAGAGAGACACAGAGAGAGAGAGAGAGAGGATGGACAGATGGATACGTGTGCATACATGTGTACACATGTCTAAACGTAAGTACTGTGTGTGTGTGTGTGTGTGTGTGTGTGTGTTTGTTTATATATATATAAACAAACATACATTATATTCCTTAAACCTTATAATAACACTATAAGAAAGGTATTTTATGGATGTGGAAACAATACCTCAATCATTAAGATTAAGTACCTAAATCAAAGTCACATAGCATCACGGCTTAAAATCCTTCCCTTGCCATCAGAAGTTCCCAGTCTAGTTTCAGTTATCCTATTATAAGCACCCATTATAACTCACATTTCTTTTTTATACAACTTATTTTAACTGCAGTTATAGTTTTCTATGAGTATTAGTTGAATGCCTGTCTCTCCGACTAGGCAAAAAAATTCCAAGAAGGCTTAAACCATGTAACTGGCACACAGTAAATGTCCAATAAATAATAAAGGAAATATAGAGTTATATTTTTTAAAAGCTACAAGATGGTACAACTACTTGAGAGAGTAATATAGCAGTATCCATTATGACTTGAAATACACATACCCTATTACTCAGCAAAATTATTTATATAAATCTATGTAACAGAAATAGATGAGTATACACAGATATAGCTGTATTGATATATACAAGACTGTATTTGAGCTTTCTTTATATAAATAAAAAACAAAAACAATCCAATTGTTGATAAAGCAATAATTAAATAAATTGTGATGTGTCTGAGAAATAATGCATACATTAGCCTATATTCTTATATTTGCACGTGTGCACACATGTATGTGTAGAGATAGACAATAAAGTTGGGAAGGTTTCATGCACATAGAAGTTAGTGGTTATCTCTGGGACATGGGAATGAAGAGGAAAGGGAAGGAGCTTCATCACTTGAGAAGATTAATGCAAGACAACATGGCCTTTCATTTTATATTTAAAAAATACAATAAACACAAAGCTTAAATCAAATGGGAGAGAAAAGCCATAACTATGTGCACTATTAAAACGCATCAATCCATAAGAAGACTAATTCTTTTTGAGAACCAGGAAAGATCTCACAGGTCAGATCCTACCAAGTTATTAAATTATTCTCTTTGAATACAATTTAGGTATTTGGTCAGGTCTAAAATATATTTCAAAAGACATACAAAAAACCAGAATATGAAGACATTTTATGCTCATGTGAAACCTCTTGGTCAAACTCTGTTACAGCTATTTTGCTGAGATTGTTATAAGATCCATCGGTTTGACAATAAGATTTTCAACCTTATGAGAGCTCTAAAGGCCGAGCTTTCCAGCGCTCAGGACCTAGGAAACCTGACCCATAATGTCGTATATCTTGACCAGGCAAAAACTGATAATATCTATAATAAAGCAGAGGATCATTAAAAGC